CGACGGAAACGTTCGGGGGCAGAGGACGTCATGTTCAGTATCATAACAATGCACAATAGTAAAACAAGCAACAATATCATCCAGCATTAATAATATAGTTAATACAAGTGTGTTCTGAATGTATTTGTAAGACACCAAAAATGTATATATCAAAACAAAGGACGAGTCTTGAACATGCTCCGTCTTCTCAAAACCTGGTCCAGTGTACCTGTCTACTGGTGACCTGAGAATACAAGTTATTTTGAAAGAGTAGATCAACATTAAAGCTCGTGAGTTCATAAGTATTTTAGTGTCAAATGTTTGCATAAGTTTGATTGAAAATGTTTGTAAGTGTTGATGTAAATGTTTGTAAGTGTTTAATGTAAATGTTTGTATACTTCCTAGAAAATCCTATATTTCCTACTAAAATGGAAAGTAGTCTTCTAACAAGACTCGACTGTTTTGTATGTTTGTTCTTTTGTAAAAGTGAGTGTTTTCCCAAGTTTATGACTATCATTACTAGAAAATAGCTTCCATTACCTTTTATGTGAGAATATCATTATATGAATGTAATGGGAAAATGAAAGTGTACAGTAATGTTGTATAAAGTAACTACTGAAGCACTAACTACCTTAAAACCAATTTGTTAATTAAGGTTAAAATGTGATGTGGTTATAACCATACTGATTGACGAGTATTTAAGACGACGACCTGCTGGCGTTGAAACTGATGTGACATTTGTCACCCCTTGGCTTGTCTGCCGAACTGTAGCTAACAGTTGGGATGTGGGATTGTCAGTCCCAGATAGATCTATACACACAATATCCGCTCTCCCTCCAGGAGAATCTGGTTACAAAATGCGACATAACAAGTATATTGTTATGCCATGAAGTAGTGGTTTCACATTAATGTTATCTTGTTCTTGTAAAAGGATGTATGTTCCTTTCTGTTCTTGTTGTTGTATGTTCCTTTCTGTTCTTGTTATTGTATGTTCCTTTCTGTTCTAGTTATAGTATGTTTCTTCCTGTTCTAGTTATAGTATGTTTCTTCTTGTTCTAGTTATGGTATGTTTGAACTGACTCATGTAAGAACTAACTCATGTAAGTACTAATTCATGTAAGTTTTATTGTTCTAGAAATAGTAAGTACTAACCTTCTAAACTATACCTATTATAGTTTACTAGTAAGCTCTGTAATTGAATGACTGATCATGTTTGTACACCTTTGCTACCCAAAGGTATTGAACTTATTGGAAGTACTTTTATATCTACATACATATACATAATATATAACTAAGATTTAAACGACATTCGGACAAACAATCGATACCCGAAGTCCACATCCAAATAAGGAAAAGGAAATAAAGCGAATTATCAGTCCTAAGCCCTTTAAACCTTATTTATATAACTATATCTATATAGACATGATTTTGACAATATATAAGTTTAAAAGAGTTTTGTAAAACATTTTAAAGAGTTTATCATATAAAACGAGTTTTAACCATTTGAATGATTATTGATGATTTGATGTTAGTTTATAAAAGGATTTGAAATAGTTTGTTTGGTAACATAGTTTTGAAGTATAAGGAATCTATTGGTTTGATAGTTATAAATCACATGTTATTGATTTTACAACTATATTGTTTTCTACTTGTATCCCCCCTCCCATAAAAGCATTTAAAATCATTAAAAGGTAAATTTAAGGGTATGAACTCACCTGTAGTGAGTGATTCGAATGAAAGATCGATATAGGATGCTAAGAATGCCAAGTAAAGTCTTGAGCACAAACGGATCCTATTAAGCATATAATGACACATATATGTATATAATTAGTGTATATAACAACTAACATGCTAAGGTAAACAACCTTAGGAACTAGGAAACACTTGCAATGAAGTGTTACAATCACATATGATTGATTGAAGGGAGTTCACAGCCACACAAGGAAGTGTTCATGGCCAGGAACATTTGAAGTGTTCACGGTCCAAGCTTGGTCTTAAGAAGGGTTTACGGCCATGGAAGGAGGGTTCACGGCTATACTTGCATTTATGAAGGGTTCACGGCCCAATGAAGGGTTCACGGCCGTGAACTCTTGAAGATTCATGCATTTAGGTGTTTGTTTCATTGGGGATTCAAGTGCTTCTAATGGACAACAAGTAGATGAATAAGATATGTACTTATTGGAAGCCGTTAAGGTGTTCACGGCCCAAGAACAAGTGTGTGTTCTTGGTGTTCTTGGTGAAGAAGATGGTGATTTAAAGATCTTGAAGGAAAAGTGATGAATTCAAGGCTGTTATCAAAGGGTTTCACTTGTATATGAAGATTAACTAGTAAATCGGGATGAATCACTTACTTTTTTGAAGAGAAATGAAGGTTTCCTTGATGATACTTGAGAGAGTTTGAGAGTTCTTGGTTGGAAGACATGAGAAACCAAGAAAAATGAAGGAAATCTATATGTGAAGTGAGGGGTTCACGGCCAAACATGGGTTCACGGCCGTGAACCTAGTTTGTGGCTGTGAACACCCCTTGTTGATGTTCTTCGCTCGAATGCATTCCATAGATCCATTACTCACACTTCTTAGTATCTAATCCTAAGTGTACAAGGCTTAAAAACTCATAGAATAACCCTTAGCAAGGCTAAAAGGTAACAGATACAATTCTGACTTTTGATTGAATTGGTTGACTTTACAAGATAGAAATTTCGGGTTGTCACAGCTCATAAGGATGTTTATATAGCACTCGAACCCTAGATATTAGGATTTCCTCCTGAAGTGGGTACGCTTAGCGTACACAAGTGTACGCCCGACGTACTAAGACGCGCCTAGTACTCTTAGCGTACCTTATGTACGCTTAACGTATTAGCCCTGTTCTCAAAGTTGCAACTTTAGGCCTTAGGCTTCTCATGGGTCGACTCTTCTAACCCCATGGACTACAAATGACAAAATAATAATAGAAGAGAGGATTCGAAAATACCTTCAAAATCTCAGGATGTTACAAAATGACTGCAACATTATATGGGAACTCTCATTTAATTAAGTTGAGTATTTAATTAATGTACTAATAAAATTTCTATAGTGCCCTTAGAGAATGATTGGTCCGCAATCATTCTTGCGTTCTCAACCTTGTTACGTTCTCAATATAACATCTCGATATATATGGAAATATCAAGAGTCTCAAGGTGGAAAAGAAAACATGATAAATCTTATAAGGGTAATGAGAAACGACATTTTATGACGTTTTTTTTTTCATTCAATGTGAGAGGAAATGTCGCATCATTAAAGGTAAGCTATGGTGATGTTTAATTGTGTTGACTATAACCCACAAAAACTGTTACTATAGGTAAAAATCATCACCATTGTGTACTAATTTTTGTAGTTTTTCAATCATTTTTCGATAATTGTCAGCATAAGCTACTTTCCCTCACAAGTTGTTTTGTTTTCATGACTATTGTTGACTTTTAGTGAGACATGATAGATTAAAGTGTGACCATAAACTACTTTTAGTCACGTTTTTATCGTTTCCCATTACTATTATTGACTTTTAATGACATGTAATATGTTAAACATGACCATAAACTACTATGAAGCACATGTTTTTTAGTTTGTCATGACTATTATTGAATTTTAGTGACACGTAATATATTAAAACGTGACCATAAACTATTATCAATCACATGTTTTTTTCATTTTTCATGACTATTATTTACTTTTAGTGACATAATATATTAAACCGTGACCATAGAAAAATTTTAGTCACACATTTTGTTTGTTTTTCATGACTATTATTGAGTTTTAGTGACACATAAAAGATTAAGTTGTTACTATTGTTGATATTTAATAACATTTTTTTTGTTTTTCATGTCTATTGTTAAACATCTTAAAATCATTTACATGCAAAATATTGACCAATTAACATCATGTATGTTACTCTCATAAACAAGTTAAATTAATAAACAAAATACAACATTCACATTCACATATAGAAAGTATGTTTACAACAACAATTTGATAAATCATTATAAGAAGTCATCATCTCCAACTGTCAAGCTATCACGTGTACAAATGCAACATTACCAATGGACTCAAGTTCATATACACCATCCCCATTAGTCCCTTTAATAAACACATCTATATGAATAGAAAAAAAAAATCATCAATTCACATAATAAACATTTTTTACCTTTTACACATAATACATAATACATACAACATACTTTATCTTTTACACATCATCACTTCTTAAAGAAAAGAAATCATCTCTTTTAACGAATATAGGCAACATAATTAATCATTTACATATAATAGCAATATACTTACATTTTATACTCAAAACAACAACATACTTTCTAACTCTTTTCCCAAAGAATCATAAGCAAAAGCACAAAAAAGGAAAGTTTCTTACTATCATCACTTGCTCTGTTTATACAAATACCAAAGTCGGCATTAATGAAAACAAGGTACATAACATCTAACAATAAAAGATATAAAGAATTTCCAATGATTTATATACCTTCATCCTTCCTTGTGGTCTTTATACCGAGAACCCATCCGTAAACGTGAAACATGTTGAAATAAGAAGAAAAAATGTTAAGAGAGTTGATTGAACATCATTAAATTTGATTCCTAATAACTAATACTCCCTCCGTCTGAAAATTATTGTCCACGTTTGACTTTTTTAAGTCTCTTTTGTTCAACTTTGACCTTAAATAATTTACTTTTTGTTATATAATTTTCTATGCAAGATATATGAATAGATTGTTTTTTAAATATATTTTCATTGTTATAAGTTTCATCAAAAATTATATTACACAAATAAAGTTATTTATGGTCAAAGTTGACATGGAAAGACTTCAAAAGTCAAACGTGACCATAATCTGCTTTTATTCACACGTTTTTTCATTTTTCAAGGCTATTATTGACTTTTAGTGACACAAAATATATTAAGTTGTGATTATTGTTGACATTTAATAACACTTCTTTCGTTTTTCATGACTATTGTTGAACAATTTAAAATTATTTACATGCCAAAAATTAACCAATTAACATCATGTACGTTACTCTAATAAACAAGTTAAATTAATAAACAAAATACAACATTCACATTCACATATAGAATGTATGTTTACAGCAACAATTTGATAAATCATTACAAGAAGTTGTCATCTCCAAATGTCAACCCATCACGTGTACAAATGCAACATTACCATTGGACTCAAGCTCATATACACCATACCTATTGTTCCCTTTAATAAATGTATCTGCACGAATAAAAAAAAATCATCAATTCATATAAGAAACATATTTTATCTTTTACACATAATATAGACAATATACTTTATCTTTTACACATCATCACTTCATAAAGAAAAGAAATTGTGTCTTTTAAAGAATATAGGCAACATACTTTCTAACTCTTTTCCAAAAGATTCAAAAGCAAAAGTACAAAAGGGAAAGTTTCTTACCATCAATAAAAACAAGTTACATAACACCTAATAATAAAAGATATAAATAATTTCCAATGATTTATATACCTTCACCCTTCCTTGTGGTATTGATACCCAGAACCCATCCCTAAACCTGAAACATGTTGAAATAAGAAGAAAAAATGTTAATAGAGTTGATTGAACATAAATAAATTTTATTCGTAATAAATATTAAAAAAAAATACATCTCATAAAAATTAAAATTGATGTATGGATCATTTGCTTCAAAGGTCATTGATGTGAGTTATTGTATAGAATTAGCTAAACCATACCACTCCACAAGCTGTTGCAAATGTAAGTCGTGGATGTAATTTGCATTTTCACACAAAACAAACAAAAATCAACTTTTTTGAGTTTAAACAGGAAGTAAATCCAACCCATTATCAAGATTCATCAAGTAGAGATATTAAAAACACAAAAGTATCTGAGCAAGAGCATATCCACTTACTCATCTTTTTAACACCATCAATGGAAATTCCAAGCTCAATCATGGTTTCATCTAAATTAGGGCCTAGAGATGAAAATCAGTAACATACTACCTGGAGTGGAATCGTGCTCAATGACATATCTGATCTCAAAAACGAAGTAGAGCAAGGAACTGTTTGGGAACTAGGGGTGACGATTAAAATTTGCACAGGCTATGATGGATGTGTGTAAATTTTGACTGAACATTTGCAGATAGAACGCTTGAGGTGAAATCGGAAGGAGATGAGAGATTTGTACCTGGCTTATATTGTTTCCCCTTCTTGGCTCTAAAAACACCATTTCTCTTTTTTTTTGAAAAGCCCTAAACATTAATACCATATAAACAGATTGCAAGGTACATTACGAAATTGTAGAAGAAGAAGCAAAATTGGAAGGAGATAAGAGATTTATACCTGGAACTGGCTGTAATTGGTGGCTAGAGAGAGATAACGAAGCAGGATACACTGGGTAGGCAAAGTGGGGGTAATGCAAGGGAGGCGGAATGGAGGTAGCGCCAGTGAAACGCTAGAGAGAGTCGAAGGAGCAGGGTAGAGGAGTTTGTAGGCGACTGAAGAATCTATCATAAGAGAGGGGAGGACCGGTACCAAGAAGGAGGGAAGGAAGTGAGCAATGAGAGGAAGCAGGGTAGAGGCACAGTGGAGGCAGAGACTGCATTGGTAGGGTGGAGGTGTTAGTGTTGGTGCTGCTGGCAGCAGTGTTGCTCGAGATTGTAATCACGTATGGGGAGCATCGTAGGTTAGAGACGATGTGTATGTGGGCGGCGTCGGAGGTGGTGTAGGAAAACGCTGGAGGTAGTGTGTGGAATCGCTGACATTGGTTTCGTTCCAGGGGAGAAGCAAAAACAGATCGATCATCGATTAAGGTGTGTTAGGGAGATTATGAGGGAAAGCTAAAAAGAAAGGGGGAGAATTTGGAAATTTTGAACTTTTGGGAAGTTTGGAGGCTTTCCATATTTTCATGAATTTGGGTGGTTGAAAACATACAATTTGAAGAGATACGAAAAATTGAACTTCCTCTAAATACTAGTTTATTTTTCAACATGGACACCATAAAACAGTTATAATCATGGTTGTTAAAATCGCGATCTTGATCGTAGGATCGGACGATCATACGATCCTAGGTATGAAAAACGATCCGGATTGTAAACGGATCGTATTTGGGGTAGGATCACAGGTAGGATCGTAAGATCGTATGTATGATCGTAGGATCGAGATCCGATCCTATCCTACCTTCCCTTGATTTTTTTTACCACTTTATGTCTTTTACCCTTACCAATTTACCATTTATCATTTTGTGTTGTGACTTATGACTAATATTTTGAAGTTTTTATAACTTTTGAACGAAACATTAAATGTTTGAAATATTTTTCATGATTAAAAATTATAAATTAAAATTATATTTTATTTTGTGGGATCTTAGGATCCCGATCCCGATCTTGCAAACCCAAAAACGATCCTACGTAGGATCCCGATCTTGACAACCTTGATTATAATGACATATTTTTTACTTACGTGTTTTTTATTTTTTAAATTTCATAATAAAATACTTACATTCACATGTTATTCTTTTATATTCAAAATCATTAATTTTAAAACATACATATGAAATTAAACTGTTATCGTAAAACACTTATTGTCACATGTTTTATTTTAAATGTCATAATAAAGTATTTATAGTCTAAAGTGACGATTGGCTAGTATTTGTCACATTTTTTTATGTAAAACTGTAACAAAATGTGTAATATAGTTTGCAATGGTGATGGTTTTTAGTAATTATGTATCTAAAACATTACTAGAATTTGATTAATGGCTTTTAGAGAGACAATTAACCAAATCCGCGACAACTATGTTTCCAAAAAACGTGGCCATAGGTCACTTTTGTACTAGTGTGAGGTGTTTTCTTTGTTGCGCCCAGCCTCAAAGTGCACCCGGCTAAAAGTAAAGTCATGCTAACTTGTGTTACTAACTCGGAGGTTCAAAACCTACCTACTTGGTTGGCTTGGGCCATAGGTTTGTTTCCTTTCTCCTATCATGGTGTTTCAGTCGGTGCGAAGATGACGAGATTAATATCATCCTGGAAAACTATATATTGTTAAAAATTCTCATTCTAAATAATTTTTGCGGAAGGTCCGATAAATCACTTTTGGAGGTTGATTAACCTTATGCATTAGTGTTCATGGTTGCCTTGGAACCTACTTGTTCTCTCTTTTCAAGGTGCCAAATGGAGTCATCAAAAGATTGAGAGCATCCTATTGTAAATTCTTTTGGGTTGGTTTGGATGACAATAAGAAAGTTACTTTATTGCTAGGGAAAATATGTTACATACCAAGGAAAAAGGTGGTTTCAACGTTAGCATATCATTTAATCTTGCTTTATTGGGAAAATGGTGGTGACGGTTCTATACTGACTAATGGTGTATCCGGAAAAAAAATTTAACGGCACTATGGAGAGAGACAGAATGATGGCTTGTAAAAAAGGCAGTTGGGGCAATATCATTAATCTTCAGACTGATTTAATTATTTGAATTTGGACATTCTTTCCATGTTTTCTATCAAAAACAATAGGTCAAGATGGCTTGAAATCAAGGAAGACAATTTCTCGTCGTCCTCCACCAGGTTCATAAATGATGACGTTTTGTCAAAATATAATACTTGCAACACTATTTGGAATCGCATTGCACCCGCCAAGGCAAACATCTTAACTTTGCTTGTTAGGCTTGGTCATCTATACACTAGATTGAACCTCCATAGAATTGGGATCCCTTTGCAATCACCTATACGCACCCTCTGTTCGGCTACCAATGAATTTGAATCACACTTATTTCTGGACTACCCAAAAGTCATTGAGGTAAGTGTGATTTCGTGTCAGTTTTGGAGGGACATCCCTATTACTAGTGTGCCCATCATTGATTTGTTTTAGAGGTTATACCATGTGGGTTCTCCTGTAATAAAATAAAGCATAACAAAATCAAGCTGCCAGTCACCTCTGCTCTGATGGCCCTGTTGTGAATAATGTAGATATGGCCACGAGGTTGTCTTCAGTTGCAAATCCAGGAGCAGCAAAGAGTTAGTAGGTGACATCCAGGCTTCGATTGGTTAGGTATTAGAGCTAGAAAAGATGAATAGTTTTGTTGGTTAAACTGGTCTATCGATCCTCACAAAGATTGCCTCAACTAAATGTAACTCTAGCCTCTCACCGGCTTTGTTTTTAGAAGAAAAAAAACACTCTTTTGTTTAAAAAACATCATATAAATATTACCCGCTTATATTTTTTGAGACTTATTCTGCATATTCAATGACTCAGTAGATGTGAAAATTTTTGCCAGCTACAAAGGCTGAACTGACATTTTCTAATAGGGGAAAGTATTGAAAGGTTAATACATTTGAAATGTTGTACCTTAATGAATCGTGTGCTTGCATGTCTCATAAGAAATGTTTGAGTGATATGAAATATGTTTATAGGATCTTGTGGTATTCAAATTCATATACACACATTCATACACGTACACATACAGATACACATTTCATATATATTTATACTCATACAAATACGCTGATAGAAAATAAAACGGGTTTTAAACAAAGATTAATCCACCTTGCAGCCAAAGAATACCATATCCGCTACTTTTATCAGCAAAGACATGTATAAAGCTTGTCCAGTAGATGTTTTGTACTTAAGCTTTTTTAATTGGTTGAACTACTCGATGTATCCCCATATAAAGTTCAAGTTGGCCTCTGTTTTAACAAAAGTTCATGTTGACTGTGTCCACTGTTTATCTAATAAATTAAACCAAAGAGGCCAATCCGAATAACAGAAAAGGTGTGGTTTGGATTTATTGACCGAAGAAATTGGCAACCCTGATGCACACATGTGACCGGTAGATGATATCGCCTGAGCAGATTAAGTCTGAAACGAAACATTAACCCATAAAACTATAATGAGTCCATAATAAACGAGTTTTTAACCAAAATAGGGTTATTGAAGAAAATATTTACCAATCTAGTATAGTTTGAAAGATATTTACCAAACTAGTGTTTTTCTTCATTTTTTTTATTTTTCAATATTTCTTATTGTTTTTCTATTTATTTAAATAACTGCTTTTTTACTTTTTTTTATTTCAGTTTTTTTACTATTTATTTTAAATATCAGTTTATTATTATTATTATTATTATTATTATTATTATTATTATTATTATTATTTACTATGCATTTAACATAAATATCTAACATACAAAAGAGCTTTATTATTTTGGTTCATTACATGCCTATTTGATTAATTTTTTTCTACCGTTTATATAGTGATTACGAGTTTACTTTAATTTTCTTACCATTTATTTATACATATATTTTAAAAACTTAACCCTTTTACAAATTCAAGTTTTTTCTCATGTCTTTATTTATACAACCTTTGCATGCTTTTTAATTGAGTGTCTTTACATTATAAAATATAAAAAGCAAAAGTTTACATATTTTTTGTCTTTACATAAAAACAAATATGTAAAAACATAGAAAACAAATTTTAAAAAAAATCTAATTTGTAAAACGAAAGAAATCATAAAATACATGCATAAAACGAAATATGTAAAAAATATTTAGAAAACAAATTTCCAAATCAATAAAAACTATTATTTCAAAACACGTGAAAACAAAATTGTAAAAAAAAATATACGGACAAAATTTTAAACACAACTATTACTTTGCTTTTTATATTTTATTTTCAATGTAAAGAAACTCAATTAAAAAGCATGCAAATGTTGTATAAATAAAGACATGAGAAAAAACTTCTTTTTGTAAAGGGTTAAGTTTTTAAAAAATATATATAAATAAATGGTAAGAAAATTAAAGTAACTCGTAATCACTATTTAACGGTTAGAAAAAAATTAATCAAATAAGCATATAATGAACCAAAATAATAAAGCTCTTTTGTATGTTAGATATTTATGTTAAATGTATAGTAAATAAAAGTATATAAAATTTAATAAAAAAAAACTGAAACAAAATAAAATAAAAAAATAAACTGATATTTAAAAACAATAAATAGTAAAAAAAAACTGAATTAAAAAAAGTAAAAAAGCTGATTTTTTAATAAATAGAAAAACAATAAGAAATATTAAAAAATAAAAAAATTTTGAAGAAAAACACTACTTTGGTAAATAATTTTCATACTATACTAGATTGGTAAATATTTTTTTCAATAACCCCATTTTGGTTAAAAACTCCATAATAAACTTGACAACTGCAAACTGCACATATTAAAAATTAATGATTTTAACATGAAGATGTGTTGACCATCATTAATGTTTTGACCATCATTAATGATTATGCAACTTACAGGGGAGCCATTCTTTCTTGTTTACGCTCCCCTACTGAAATATACAAAGGTTTTGTCCCATCATCTCAGGATTCTTCTCAGCCATCCAATTCATCCTGTTTACAAGAATGAAGATTAGTTAACTTTTTTGGTTTGTGACACAAAAAACTTATTGCAAAAGCTATGAGTTCAAAAATTAAAATCACTAAAACTAAAATCTCTGTCAGATTTTTTTGCGTTAAAAAGATCTAATACTCGATCCCTAAATATCTGCATCTTTAGTGATATTAGGGAATAAGCATGTAAAGAACTACAGATCAGATCTGCAAATTCCGTCAAGATCTCCATAATCTCCAAACAGTATTCAATAAGAATGGAACTAGATGTCAGATTTAGACTACTGAAACGTTACTAGATATAGCATAAATTGGAAAGTTGAGCAGTAAAACATTATTGGAATCAAAACAATTACATAAGAAAACTTTATATAAATTTACCTTTCCAACCATAAGATATAGGGGCCTCGGACAAACCCACAAAACCAACTCTTGAAATGTTATGAACACCTAACTGATACCGATCTGATTCTACTAGGCTGACAACAGAATACAGATCAATGTATAGTGTGAGTGACTGGCTATACAGATCAATGTATAGCGGATCTTTACCAGTTTTTTGATCTATCAGCATGATTTTCACGACTGAAAAAAGACAAAAATCGATAACTTAAATGAAAACAATGCATGATTTTCAGATAAGTAAGAAACGATTGAGAATTTGAGATCTAGCTAGACTGATAGGGTCGATAACGACAGCGGCTGTGAAATTGTATTGAAATGAAACTGAACATCGTATATATAGTGGTTAAGAAATGTGTAGGCGTAACCCTATAACCCTGATCTCTAGCGTTGATGATTTGCATCAACCTCCCCTACTATTGTACATATCTTCAAATAGAGCCCAAAGGTTATGCAAAATGACAGTTTTGCTGCTTGATGAATAAAGTGCTACTTGCTTTTTTATTTGTAATTTTCTTAACGGGCTCTTTTATGTAAATGGCTACAATAGTTGTATAGCTTTTTTTAATGTAAATCTAATTATTGATAAACTACTCTTAGTTCAACATGTGCCCAGCAGAACAATTGAACCCTCGATCTCAAAGTAGAAAAGCAACACCTGGATTGACTAGAAGTCTTTTGGTAAATATAAACAATACTCTTTATTTTATTTATTTTTTGGAAAAGCATTTGATACATTTTTCTTTCTTGTTTAAGTGCAAATATCTTTCATCATTTTGACATTATAAATATTCCAAGTTGAGTATACCATATTCATGGTTTAGCCTTTCAACATGAAATGGTTTAATTAGCGCAAACTTAATATAATTTTTGGCTACAAAATTAATGGTTTCACTAAATGTTAAAGTATAATTAATGTGTTAAATGAAATCAAAATAAATATGTATACTGCTAAATATATTTATTTTAATTGTAAATTAAGGGGATGTTCATAATTAATCAACATAATGTAAGATTGTGCCTATATTTATCGTTTAACATGCCCTTCAGTTAAAATCAACAAGTCAAAGAAAGCTTGACGATAAATATTCAGTTTATGAATGTTTTGTCCCAAAGTTTATTTTGGTTGATTATTGGATTACTGACACCCGATGTTTTGATATTAGCACATTATCCTACATGAAATGCAACTTTGCATTTTAAGTATATTTGGATTCCTTTTCTATTTCAAGGCAATGTCAGTTTTACAACATATGAGAGACACTTGAATGAATTTTGATAAGCATGTGAGAACCACAACACATGCACAAACTTGCTATGGATGATTAAAATTTGTTGGTAAATATCCATTGATTTTCAATTATTAAGTGCCAGCAAGGCATAGTATTGAATATTTATCGGAATATATTTGTGAATTTGGTATAAGTTTGAAAACTGGTGGTGGATTTATGAACTTACCAAAATTAACTATGGGTAATGTAATAATTTTGTAAGTCATCTCTTGCATCTTTTGCATGGTACTACACCATCAGTAACACGAAGAAACCCTAGACTCCTTGTCCGATACAACATATCTCGCCACTAATGCTCTATATTCATGAACTAACAACAAGGGGAAAATAATAATAAAAAAAGTGGTAAAACATCAACACAATTGTAATTTGTAGGTTTTCTCACTACTACAAAATGAGTCTAATGCAAACTTTTGAAGACAACCTTTTAGTATAATTTCTAATTTGTAATGTCCCAAAAATACTAAGTAAAAGTTTCATTTTTAAACAACCCAAAAATATTAAGTAAAAATTTCATTTTTAAACAATCCCTATTAGTCCCTTTCATAAACGAATCTGCATGAACAGGAAAAAACAAATCATTAATTTATATAAGTAACATATTTTATCTTATACACATAATATAGGCAACATACTTAATCTTTTACACATCGTCACTTCATAAGGAAAGAAAACAACTCTTTTAACGAATATAGGCAACATACTTAATCATTTACACATAATAGCAATGTACTTACCTTTTAAGTTTTCCCAAAGAGTCAGAAGCAAAATCACAAAAGGGAAAGTTTGTTACCATCAATCACTTGCTCTGTTTGTACAAATACCAAAGTGTGTATTAATGAAAACAAGACATATAACATCTAACAATGAAAGATATAAAGAATTAACAATGATTTATGTACCTTCACCCTTCCTCGTGGTCTTGATATCGACAACCCATCCCTAAACATGAAAAATGTTGAAATAAGAAGAAAAAAAATATTAAGAGAGTTGATTGAACATCATTAAATTTGATTCCTGATAACTAGTAAGAAATAAGATACATCTCATGAGAATTAAAATGGAAGTATGGATCATTTGCTTCAGAGGTCATTGCTAGTAGTTCTTGTATAGAATTAGCTAAATCATATCACTCCACAAGTTGCTGCAAATGTAAGTCATGGATGTAATCTTTATTCTCAAACAAAACAAACAAAAATCATGTTTTTTTAGATTAATTAGGAAGTAAATCAAACCCATTATCAAGATTCATCAAGTAGAGATACTAAAAACGCAAAAGTACCTGAAGTAGAGCAGATCCACCTAGTCATCTTTTTAGTTTTACCAAATCATTATGAACAGATCCACCATAAGCTTGAGCTATAAATGAAAGACTATGTTTACCACCATCAATGGAAATTTCAAGATCAATCATGGTTTCTTATAAATTAGGGCTTACAGATAAAAATCAGGAACATATTACCTTGAGTGGAATCGTACTCAATGCAATATTTGATCTCAAAAACGAAATAGGGAAAGGAATAGTTTGGGAACTAGGGCGACGATTAAAATTTGTAGAGGCTATGATGGATGTGTGTCTTTGGAGGGACACCACGTTTAACAGAACATTTTCAGATAGACCGCCTGAGGTGAAATCGAAAGGAAATGAGAGATTTGTACCTCGATAATACTGCTTCACCTTCCTGGCTCTAAAAACACCATTTCTCTTATTTATTTTTTTCAAAAGCCCTAAACATTAAAACCGCATAAACAGATTGAAAGGTACATTATGAAATTATAGATAAAGATGCAGAATTGGAAGGAGATGAGAGATCTGTACATGGAACTTGACTGTTATTTGTTGCTAGAGAGAGATGACGAAGCAGACACATGTCAAGCCGATTTTAGGTAATGCATGGGAGCCGGAGTGGAGGCGGCGCCGATGAAGCGCTATAGAGAGCCGATGGAGCAGGGTAGAGGAGTTTGCAGACGACTGACAAATCTATCACAGAAGAGGGGAGGACCGGTAGCAATAAGTAGGGGATGAGATGAGAAACGAGAGGAAGCAGTGTAGAGGCACAGTGGGTGTGAAGATTGTGGTGGTGGGGTGGAGGTGTTGGTGTTGGTGGTGTTGACGGAAGTGCTGCTCGAGATTGTAATCGCGTATGGGGAACATCATAGGTTGGATACGACGTGTATTTGGGTCAGCGCCAAAGGTAGTGTGTGGAATCACTCGCATTCGTTTCATTCTAGGGGAGAAGCAAAAACAGATCGGTCGTCGATTAGGGTGTGTTAGGAAGATTATGAAGGAAAGCCAAATGAAATGGGGAGAATTTGGGACTTTTGAAAATTTGGAGGCTTTCAATATTTTCATGAATTTGGGTGGTTAAAAACATACAATTTGATGAGTTATAAAAACTCAAACTCTCTCTGAATACTAGTTTCATTTTTCAACATTGGTATCGTAAAACACTTATAGTGACATATTTTTTTATTGATACTATTTTTACATTTGGACACACATAAAACTTAAAATGTCACGATAAAATACTTTTAGTTACATGTTTTTTTTAATGTCATAATAGAATACTTACAGTCACATGTTATTTTTTCATATTCAAAATTATTAATTTCAGACATACATATGAAATTAGACTGTCATCATAAAACACTTATTGTCTCGTGTTTTTTTAAATGTCATAATAATATACTTACGGTCACAATGATTTAACCTGACTATTGGCTGGTATTTGTTACATTTTTTTTTATGTAAAACAGAAACAAAATGTGTGAATATAGTCTGCAATGGTGATGGTTTTTACTAAAATATGTAACTAAAACATTACTAGACTTTGATTAATGACTTTTAATGACACAATTAACCAAATCTGTGACAACCATGTTTCTGAAAAATGTGGTCATAGGTCATTTTTGTACTAATTTGTGGTGTTTCTGTGTTGCGCCCGGCCTCAAAGTGAACCTGGTTAAAAGTAAACTCATGCTAACTTGTGTTACTAACTCGGAGGTTTAAAACCTACCTACTTGGTTGGGTTGCGCCATAGGTTTGTTTCCTTTCTCCCATCGTGGTGTTTCGGTGGGTGCGAAGATGACGAGAATATCATCTTGGAAAACTATATATTATTGAAAATTCTCATTCTAAATAATTTTTGTAGAAGGTCCAATAAATCACTTTTGGAGATGGAAAATGTTCATGGTACCCTTGGAACCTACTTGTTCTATCTTTTCAAGGTGGCAAATGGAGTCATCAAAAGATTGAGAGCATCCTATTACAAATTCTGTTGGGTTGGTTTGGATGACAATCAGAAAATTACTTGTATTGCTAGGGAAAATGTTTTACATATCAAGGAAAAGTTGATTTCAACAATGGCTAATCATTTAATTAATCTCGCTTTATTGGGAAAATGGTTGTGCTGGTTCTATGCTGACTAATGGTCTATCCCAAAAAAATTTATAACGACACTATGGGGAGAGACAGAATGATGGCTTGTAAAAGCGGCATTTGGGGCAATATCATTAATCTTCAGACTGATTTTAATTATTTGAATTTGGACTTTCTTTCCATGTTTTCTATCAAAATCAATAGGTCAAGATGGCTTGAAATCAAGGATGGCAATTTCTCGGCGTACTCCTTCAGGTTCATAAATGATGAGGTTTTGTCAAAATATAATACGTGCAACAATATATGGAATCGCATAGCACCTGCCAGGCAAACATCTTTGATTTGTTTTTGAGGTTATACCATGTGGGTTCTCCTGTAATAAGATAAAGCATAACAAGATCAAGCTGCCTGTCACCTCTGCTCTGATGGCCCTGTTGTGGATAATGTAGATATGGTCACGAGGTTGTCTTCAGTTGCAAATCCAGGAGCAACAAAGAGTTAGTAGCTGACATCCAGCCTTCGATTGGTGAAGTATTAGAGCTAGAAAAGATGAATAGTTTTGTTGGTTAATCTGGTCCATCGACCCTCGCAAAGATTGCCTCAACTAAATGTAACTCTAGCCTCTCACTAGCTTTGTTTTTATAATAAAAACACCCTTTTGTTTAAAAAAACATCATATAATTAATGCCAACATATATTTTTTGTGACTTATTGTGCCTATTCAATGTCTCAGTAGATATGAAAAAAATTTCCAGCAATAAAGGCCGAACTGACATTTTCTAATAGGGGAAAGTATTGAAAGGTTAATACATTTGAAATGTT